ATTTATATAAAAATATATTTAGGAAATATGGAATAAAACCACAGTATTGTCTCTTCCTTTTCTGCCTCCATCAGTATTGTTTCGTATGTTAGACGCTTTTGCCTGCAGCGAGTCCCTCAATAAAACCAGGAGAAGATTCTGAGTTATAGTGGCAGAAAAGTCAAATGCAGGGCAGTGCTGTTTATACTGTGGACAGATGGGTTTGTGAAGATGGGTTTCTTGTCTGATGCTTTCATTGCAGTCTTCTAGTTCTTTCCTCTATAAAGACATAGGCGATTTGTGAAGTAAAAGAAAAGAAAGGAAGTTGCATTGAAAGGTCACTATATACTGTGGTTTCAGTGTGCTTGAACGTATGCCAGGTGCTGTCATTGCAGGGCCACCTGCAATATTAATGCTTAAGCTGTATTACTAAGATTTCAGGGTACTTATTAAGGTAGTTATTAGAATATTAGCATAAGTCATTGAACACATACTAAAAATAAGCACATGCACATGAAACTTGAGGCTGCTGGGAAGTGCACATTTAGCCTCATGTGCTCAATGGTGTATTAACAGATTTTGTAGCTTTCTCCACCACATGAGAAAAGAACAGAACTTCAGATCTTGGGTTGTGGCTTCAGGTGTAGTTTTTACCTGTTGTATTTGTATTGACTTTTAAATGGTATTGGGATTAGAATTCTATTCAAATTCAGATTCCCATGAACATCTCAAAAGAAAAAAGCCCACAAAATTATTACATGCACAAAAAGTGGCAACACTGACAAACTTGACTACCTGCTTTATTGTGTACTTAGCTTAACTTTGAATTGGATTTTTTGGATGAAAACTCACTAAACAGATTAATTGATTGTGTTAGTCAAGTGTGCTATTCACAGTAATAATCTTGATCCTACAAAACTTCTAAAGCTATAGCCAGAGGAACAAAAGCACATCTCTGGCATAGTATGTCTAGCCTCCAGATTGCTCCTATGAGAAGTTGTTGTCTTTGGACATTTTGCTGTTTTAATATTCTTGTCAAAAGATGTGCTTGGTTGATGTACTCTGTTTTTTCTTTGTTTTCACAGATATGCTCTTTCTTCAAGGATCAGAGGCTATATTTAAAGTGGCTTTAAGCCTTTTGGGAAGCCATAAGCCCTTGATTCTGCAGCATGAGAACCTAGAAACTATTGTTGATTTTATTAAAAGCACTCTCCCTAACTTGGGTTTGGTACAGATGGAAAAGACCATTAGTCAGGTATGAAATAATCTGAACATATGAGTAGTATGTAAAGGAATGCTCTTTTTAACAAGTTCTTGACAGAAAATCCACAAGAGTGTATTTTATTACTTCAAGCTGAGAATTCTGTTATTGTAGTTCTGAAGATACTGAAAACTTTTGGAAGCATATGACTTGTATAGCATCTCTGCATTCATACATCCATATGTTGGTTATGGTCAGTTTATGAAGCCTTCAATGAAAGTGAGTTTACTTTATTTTTTTAAGTGTGCAACACTTTGTTACTGGCAGCAATATTACAGCCCATACGCAGTGCATTCCACAAAAAAAGCAGCAAGGTGGGCTAAGAGTCTTCTGAGTTTTCCTGTCTCCAAAGAATCTTGCTCTCCTGTCTCATTTCAGAAGCAAAAATTGACTTACAAGAGCCTCACAAATGTTGACCTTACTTAATGAAATTAGAAGCCTCCTACGTTGACTTCGTCTATACTGGCTTTTATGGTGCTGGTTCAGTATGTTACAACAGTGCCTTTGTATTTCTGCCAGGAGTACGTGGGGCAGTGCAGTCGCTTGCAGTGAGCAGTGACTCTAGACAGCAAAAACTGGGAGTCCTTGATATATTTTTTTTAAATGGCAGACAAGGAAAATGATGCAATATTGCTAAGCTAGCAGAAGGCTCCAGACAATAACTATGGCATTTGAAAAAATCACAAATTATTGCAGTTAAGGCTGGCCTGTTTAGAAGCCCTTTACACTTGACATTGCAGCAGGCAAATAGAAGACTGGGTTTAGCCTGTTTTTCTGAAGGCCTTTTGTGGTTCAAAACATGGGGGGTGTACTGCAAACGCCTGCCACTCACCAAGGGCTGCAGGAGACCTGCAAAGCCTGTGGCTTGACAAAGAAAGCAGGCAGCAGCACAGTACACTGCAGAATGCTTGCGAGGGACTCCCTTCTGATCCCTGGCAGCAAAGCTTCCATGGGACATGCACTCGAATTAGGATCGGAAAAATTGCTTCTAGTGCTTATTATCAAAGGAGGGAGGGGAGAACAGAAAGCCTGTGCGAGGGGAAAGCAAGCAAGCAATTTCTAGGAGTCAAAGGGGATTGTATGTTATCTGCCAGGCTGAAAGCCTGGAGTGTGCAGCTCTGCAGAGACTTGCAGTGCTTGGGCAACCTGCAGAAAACCATGGCTTTGAGCAGAAGGAGGGAGAGATACTCTGTTTAGGCAGCTCTGAGTGCTCTACAGTTAAAGTGGGCAGGTAGAAGTGAGTTGAAGGGAGAGCAGTTCCCCGGCTTTGATTAGGGCTGCCTTTGAAGAGAGCAGCTTTTTAACCAGCCCTGCAGTCCATACACAGCTCCTGGGCTAATCCCCGTCCTCCTCACGCCTTCTGCAGCATGGCCTTTGGTTTACATGACCTAATGTGCCTTCAGTTAGCTAGTTTTCAAGTCAAGTTTTAGATTTGCTTCATGTTTCCCCCCTTTCAGATTTGATACTTTGGGTATGACAGCAGGGATTTCCCTCCCTTCTCAAGAGCATAGAGGCTAGAAGTGGCAGAGGTCATGAGAGGAACTAGCATTATGCCCTGCTGAATTGCACCGTTTGTTTTATTGAAATTTCAACGTGTGTGTTCTCCGGAGATGCTCAGACCTACAGAAAATGAAAGTTCCACATGTGTAACCAAACTCAAATTAAAATTGTATTTCAGCCTTCTGTACTTAGATGCTTGGTATGTGTATTTCTGCTGCTGTACAACTATGACAGAATTTTTTATAGCATATGTAACAGGTGTCAGAAACATTTCATAAACTGATGTTTTCTTTAAATATAACCAACAGTTAAAGTTTTGTAGACAAAACCAATAAATAAAATAGGAAATAATTCTTGTTATTTCAACAGCTATTTAAGATAGGATTTGATACTTGACTCATTGCCAAAAGGAATAAAGTATAAGAGGTTTAAAAATAAAGAATAACCCTTGAACTTTTATTCTTGGGCTATTTTCCAGATGCGTTTTTAAGTCAACTTTTGTTTCTACTACATTCTGTGATTGGTACACTTGTCCTTTTAATTTACCACATTCTTCACTGCTTTCAGAGGAGATAACTAGCTCAGGGACATTAGAGTCATATTTCCTGAATAATTTGATGGCAGATGTTTGCCAAAAAAGGAAAATACAATAGCACATTTTTCCTTTGGGTCACTCTGTGCACCTCAATTTATTTATCTGCTTTCAAAATAAAAGGTTTTCTTAATATTCATGCATAAGACTGAGCACTCATTTCAGTGATTCATAGTTAATAATAATAGAAAACTGCTTTGACATTACATAATGTTTCCATTAAGTGTATTAGTGTAAGGATAGATTATTTCATTTTCTTTCTGTCTCTAGGAGTACAGTAGAATCATAAATAAACCTGGCAATGTTTACTGGTTTTCATTTAAAGCTTTTGTTCTACTTAGCCTTACACTTGTACACATGGCACGTGGGCTTGGACCACACTTTTCTAAAGTGACATCTAATTCCGAGTACATCTAGGAGGGTTTATGCCAAACTGAGATGCATTAAATTTGAAACCTAAAAAGGGGAATACCCTACAAAGTCTACGCTTCTTGAAAACTTTAGCGTAAGTGATTTTGCTGAAGTCAGGCAGCAAATCAGTAGCAAAGTTTTTAAGTAGATCCAGTGCACTCTACTGCCTCAATCTTTCCATTTCGGGATTAGGAAATGTGAATGCCAAAAATTCAGTCCTTTTTTATATGTAGTGATTAGATAACTAAGTCTAGATCCATAGATTTTAAAGCATTGAAGGAGCTATGGTTTTGATCTGCACAGCATCTAATAATATTTTTATATACAACAGGTGTTTGAAATGGATATTGCCAAGCAGTTGCAAGCTTATGAAGTTGAATACCATGTGCTTCAGGATGAGCTTATAGATTCATCTTTAAATGACAATCAGAGACTGGATAAATTAGAAAAGGCAAACAGTAGCTTGCGCAAACAAAACTTTGATCTCCTGGAAGAACTGCAGGTACAATTTATATTTCATATTTAATTAATATTCTAATTTATCCACCTTTTCAGAAGAGACTGTCCTACACCAAGGCACAGGAGTTATTGGTGTTTGGTCTAGTGACTTTAAAGCATAGCCACTTGCAATTTTATTTAGTTTAGCCTTTAAAGTTTAAATGCAGCAGAAATTCTGAGAGCAGGATGGATAGAGCATATGCTTGCAATTAGAGAAAAGTTGATTCATCACACTGTCTCTTCTCTTGTAATTAAAATCATAGCTGTAGAAGATGACTAAAAAATACACAAAGTGCTCGCTCAACTTCATTTTTATGTTTTCAGTCATTGCTTTATTACAGCAAGGATATTAGTCTATTGCGAATGGGAAAGCTAATGCCAGTGTCACAATTTAGAGATACATCAGATATGGGATACATTGTCTATAAAGACATACTCTTTCTTACAAGATTTTTTTTTTAAACTGTTATCCAGATTTTTTAGATAGTATGTGAAATAATAATTTCTAATATATGCTTGGTGCCTACTCAGTCGGCAGCTTTTTCAGAGGCAGTACACCTGGTCTCTGTAGGGGTTATTCTTTGCTTAACTGTTCAAGAAGTCAGCTTTCTGGGTGCTTTATAACAGGACATTTGTTATAAAACTGTTGACCATGCATTTAGTTTGATGGAGAAAGGGACTTCAAGGGTAAGAAGCAGACATTTCAAGCCTCTTGATTATTGTTAGAGACATATATTTGTAAGATAGTAGGTGAGGGAAGGAGTTCAGGTTTCTCAGCCATTGGTGCTGTATCATGACTAAAGCTAGCCAACTGTGCGGACTTAGATTGCCTCTCCTAACAAAAATTTGCTTAAGCTGTAAATTCTGATCCTGTGAGATCTGAACCTGTTTCAGGTTCTAAGATGAGCCTTAGAGAAGTCAGAAGAACAGGGACTCCTCTGCAAGATATTTTCATAAAGCGTCAGGCACATGAGCAATGAAATTGTTGAATGTAGCATGGGGGAGAGGGATTTCTGGGATGAGATTCAAGATGTGATGTCCTATAGATACCCGCATCAGGGGATCTTCTATCCCTTCCTGCCCCTAAAGACTTTTCAGTCCTAAGCAGTTTTTTGCAAAGCTCATCTCCACATGAGTGCTGGCAAGTCAGCACCTAACATCATAGTGGGGAACTTAACTGTCTGTAGTGTTGGAGCAATCCCTTTGTCTTGGAGTTGGGCCTCATCAGCCTTCATTTCCTGTGGTGAAAGGTGACCCATTGCTGATGGGAGGAAAATGCATCAGCAAGCAATATGGATCACGGTTTGTCAATATTTTGCCCCCAAAGGCTGAACTTTCTAACCCACCATAATTATATGAAGGGCAGTGAGCTCATCAGGAAGGCAAATACTTCCCTGAAAGCCAAGACTATCCAGTGCTCTTGTCTCCAAATGTTACCCAGTGCTGAAACTCCAAAGAAATCTCTGCTTTTGTCAAAGTACCTCAGCTACAGATCTCACATGATGAGTTTGAATGATCTAATACTTTGTTTTGCCATCAAGTAGAATGCCCATATGTGCAGCATTTTGAAGGAGAATTTTTGGAATTTTTTAGGATGTGTTGTCCATTTGCATATTGCACTAAATCCTCTCCTACCTCTTTGACACCAAAACTGGCATTTGTTGGACTCAGTGTCGAGATGAAATGACGATGCAGCTAACAGGCTGGATTGTCTTTGCTTTGCAAAGCACGTGGAATTCAACAAATATGGCTGGCCAAAAATGTCTCCCAGCTGACCAATACAGAGGCTTATCTTAACCTGCAGTTCTTTGGTATATAATTTGCAGGCTTAGTAACTTTCTAATTTCATTGCTTTGCATTATATTCTGAGTTTAATTGTGAACTAATCAAAGCAATCAAGTTGAGAGAGGGAAGTTTCTTGTTATAGGCAAAACCATAGTTGTAGTCTAAAGTACACAGATCTAATAACATTCATACTTGCATTTACCTTTGCAATTTTTCATCATTTGGTAAGTATTTTATAGGTATTAATGTATCTCAAAAAATAGTTTTAAAGTTGGTTTCAGTTATTAATGAATTTCCTTTTTTTTCTTTCCCTTCTTCCTCCCCGTCCTCCTTTCTTCTTGCTTTGAAAGGTGGCTAATGGAAAGATCCAAAACCTTGAAGCCACAGTAGAGCTTTTATTGACCAATGAAGGCAAACTGAAGGAGTCCATTCTCACTCTTGAGCAGGAACGAGCAGGTTTGCTGAAAGCCGTGGAAGAGATGCAGAAAAAGATGGGTGATACAGCTGGGAAGCCTCTACTTACTAGACAAGAACACATGGATGCTGACTGACACTCACAGATGTAATGGAGCAGAGAAGCTGAGCAAGAAACAAAGGGAAGAACTGGGTCTTTCTGTCATGATCCATAGGGATTTGACATAGTCACCTTCATTGTACATGCCTTACTGTAGCAAAGCAAGATACAGGCATGGTGGCTTCCCATATCAGAGAACCTGGTTTCTCGGGGAGAAGGCTTGTTCTTCTTAGTGTGTAGAAATACTATGAACCATAAGATGCCACATAATAATAAGCAGGAGAAACCTAATCATGCATGCAGTCATACACAATACACTGTAAAGATGTCATGCATTCTTCCTTAAGTGCTTCTAAACCTAAGTGCTTTGTGTTCATCACATATTTTGTTTGTGTGTAGATCACTGCCATGTTAAGTAGCACTTCCTTTAGAAGGTTGTTTGAAGAAATACGGCAGTGCAAAACCTTTGAATGGATTACTGCCCCATTGCAGCTATGCGGTGGTAACATTTACAGAGAGTTTTGTGATTGGACTTGAGATATTTTTGACAGTGTAATTCCCCTACAGCTTGACTGGGTTTTGTTAATTATGTTGTTTACGCTTCAGAAGACTGCTTCCTCATGGTTGAAAGTGTCGATCCATTGGACTCCAGAGAGCTGGACTTCATCATTTGTAACTATGCATAACTGGGGGGGTTGCCATCTGTTTTTATAAGTATGTTGGTTTAGTACGTTTTTTGTTTAACAACCATTAATTTAGTGTACTGTTAGTTGGCATTATCTGATAAACATACTGTACATAACTGCATTATGCTTAACAAAATACACTGACATTGATTTGGTGAAGCCTGTGACTCTTGTAACATCATCCAAGGATTTATATTCAGATTCTTCAGGTTTCATCGTATTTATTTCTGATCTGCTGTGTGATGTAAGACATCCTTTTTCTGGAAACTAATGCCCACTGTCTTTTTTTTTCCCTTTATTTGGTACTCTATGCACACCCATCCTCTGGAAAATGTTATTCTTTAAGTCTTTTTCTGAAGTAGCGGAGGTATTTCAAGAGCTTCATGTTGTGCCAGATATGCCTAAACTGTTTTATAAAGGGTATGGCAGTTTAAATTAGGACACCATTCTTTTTACAATGCATCTTTCGAGTAAGATTACACATGTAAAAAAAAAAAAAGAAATTCTCACTTTCTTTAATACAATGAAAGTAGTTTTCAGGCCAGTTAAAGCACCACTGCTACAAGTGCAATAATATCCATGGATATGTTTGGGTTTGCTTCAGAATTAGGAATAGTGCCGTAGTTTTGTTCAGTCCCCAAGTACAGAGTTAATAGGCATCGGTGTTTTGTTGTGGTGGAGATTCAACCAGGACATGTGATTCCCCCCCCCTTAAATTGATGTTTTTATTTTTAAAATTTCAAAGCACACAGTTTTTTCTCTGACTGGCAATGTAGAAGAGGTTTTGTTTTAGTTTTTTCCTTTTCTTGTGCAAATCCCCTTGACACATTGTGGTTTTAGTTTAATAGGAGAACTGTAATGTTCATCTACTGTGCAGAACAAAAATACCTCTACGTAGGTCAAAAAGAAAAAGAGAATTTACTCTTCAATTTCTAGAAGCTTTGTTTGACTCTGTCATGTCTTAAATATGTCTGGTTCCTACAAATCCACTCTGTATTCATTTAGTATTGAAATTCCAGATAAATCAGTTATTATTAATCCATTTACCTCTTCGGCTTTTTTCTTTGGAAATCCATATTGAAGCTCGTGCTTCATGTTTAAAATCTTGTCATAATGGACCTCATACTGTTAGAGTACTCAGTAATGTTGCATTTTTACAGCATAGTGCCATAATTCATACACTGACTTTTTAACAAGAGCAATAAAAATAATAAGTCTATGCCTACATCTATGTTTGTACATTTTTCGACATTTAAAAACAAAAACATAGTTGGTGGGGTGACAGTTCAGAACCATGTAAGATGAGACTTTCCCTGAAAGTACGGTACCATCTACAGTGGTTATTAATGAAAACTCTTAGTCCTCAGACTCTTCTAAACATGCTAAGGATCCAGTTGTGATCTTGGGACCTGCATCAGCATATGTTGACTAAGGTGAAGTACATTCCACATGACTCCAGGGGTGCGTTCCTTTTTGTGATGTTTTGCTTCTCTGCCAGCATAAGTGGAGGACTACTTCTACTCCAAAGCCTTTTATTGGGAATTTGTGTAATTCCAGCAGTAAGTGCCCTTAGATGAGAACTAAAGTCACTGTTCTCAGAATGCATAAATGTGGTAAATAGATAACAAGCAACTTTTTGCTTTTGTGACTATATAGATGTAACTGTTTCATTGTACCAGGGAGTATGAATTTCCTGTGGGTACAAATGAATTTTCTATTTGTACATATGCAAATTAATATGATTTTGTTCAATACGTAAATGCCTGGCAAAGTGAGGGATCATGCCATCCACTGGTTCAGGGTCTGAAAATGAATGAAATAGTTGATTTAAGTATTTCTGTTGCTTACACTGAAGCAGATATATGGTATGTTGCTTCAGTATGTCTTTCCCCATCCTGTGCTGATTTTTGTCACCGCACCTCTCCAGTTCAAGGGGCCAGGGTGGAAGAGTGTGGAGGAAGGTAATGTCACTTACCCAGTTCCCAACCTTGGAAAAGTTTGGAGCTTTCCCCTTCAGAAGTATGAGAAAGAAGTAATAGAGCCTAGAGCTAGTCCCAGATACTTGCATCGTTCTCCAGCTACACTCTGTAGCTGAGCATCCTTAAGCATGTGTAAAATTAGATCTCCTGTTGTCTGAGTACCAGCAATTGTCATCACATACTGTTTTCCATATGAACAGTAATTTCTGATTCAGGGAATGTTCTAAAAAAACAACAACAACAACAACAAAAAAAACAACCAAAAACTGCAAATCCATAGACGGGCCCTCAGCAGGAATCTCAAATGAACCACTTCTGGAAAGCCCAAGTTGAAATAATCAACATTTTCTCCATCTCACTTCTACAGATAAAAATCCCAAGGAGTGATGCTTAGTTTTTGAAGAAAAGAAAAAACAGTGAAAAAGGAGGGAAGGCAGGCGTTCACTTCTATGTGCAACCTAGGCTTCCAAAGGTGCATGACAAAGGCAGCAAAGTGTGCAATCTGAGTGTGCTAGTGAATTACATTGATGCAGTAGTCCAGAGAGAGGTTAGACTGAAATGTGGAAAGAACTAATGTTGGAATGTGCAGCAAGAAAAAGGCAGCTCCTCTAAAACCATAGCAGTAAACAGCACTGCATAGCTGGAGGACCTGCTGTGGTGTGCTGCGGTCACCCGGTTCTGTTTTGTTTTTTCCAACTAGTGCAAGTGGTAGTTTGTGGTAGGTACTTGTGACTCCCTGTGCTTCTGGCTGTTTGATGTACTTTTCTGTTTTGCCCTGTCGTCTCTTTCCAGAGATCATTACTTAATACAGAATCTGAGAATGATGATACAGTGCCTATCATGTGGGAAGGTCAAAGCACTTTCATAAAGGCACACATTAGAGGTCTTCCCTTGTTTACAGTGAGAATTGAGTCACAAAGAAGTTTAATGACTTGCACCAAATATTTCAGGTTCTCACTGGTTGCTGGCGCTGAAATCCAGATCTTTTAAGTTGTGGTCAAACTGTCTTGCTGGTTGTCTGAAAGATTGTTCCAGAAGGTCTGTAATGTGTACTCAGTAGTCACGCAATGCTCTGCCGAAACAATGTACAATGGGAAGCGCAGTCGCTGGAACCTTATCTTTTTCTGACAGCTATACCTCCCTCCCAACAGTAACTCTCTCGGTCCTACTAAAACACATTGTCTCCTTACCAGGTACCTCCTCTGCAGGTACCTTGCACCCTCCAGCTCTTGCTTGATACGCTGGAGTAGGTGCACTGCCAGCAATCCTGAACAGGAAGAATTGTAGTATAGCATCACCAGTCAACCAATATTCTTGGGATTTTTTTTTCAAACATAGTAATCTTTGATAAGAGTTGCTATTATTTAGGACAAACTCATGAAACTGCAGCTAGTAGGACTCTGAAGGACAGTAATCTACACAGAGCAAAGAGGACATCGTAGCTAGTGCTTTTTCTCCTTTGGGATCTTCCTTCACCATTCAGTGGAGCAAGGAGCTGAATCCAGTATTTTTTTTTACTTCAAGTCCACCACAATAGCTGCTGCAATTCCACCATAATAAAACAGCCTGGTATGTCAACATGGCAGAGCACACCACCACTTCTTAGCCAAGTCAGCTGGGATAGCGTCAGTGCCCTCGGTGCATTCCCCTCTCTCCTGGGGGTTTGTTCTGCTTAACTAGATAATGCAACTCAGATAATGCAGACATCTAGCTGTGAGGCACTTCTGGCCTCCAGCAGTTTCTGGCCTCAATGCCTGCTGGCCTTGCAGCCATTCAACAAAAAGCTGGAAGAAGCCAGGTGCTTCCCACCCTGCCACCGTCTCCTAGGAGCTGCATTTAAGCTGAGGCTCTTGTGCTTGGTCCCTGCCTGAGCTATGTTGCAGCCACACTCGGGTCTGGCCGTGTACCCTTGTTGATCCTGAGTTACGGACTTGGATTCCTGGCTTGACCTCAGACCTGCCTCGCCGCCATGGCCTTGTCTGGTGACCTGGACTGTTGACCTGCCTTTCTTGTCCTTTTTGGGTATTGTGGGACAGCCCTCTTGTCAGTAAGCTGCCCCCTTTGCCTGCCTGTCACCCTCAGCTCCTGGCTCGCTTTTCCCTTCAGAGTCGCACCCGCCCTTGCTGATCCCCAACACGCAGCCCCATAGCACAGCTCACGTTACGTGTCTACATTGCTTCTGATTCCAGCGCTGGGCTGGTCAGAGCTTGCTTTGGTGTCTCTGCATGCCACTGCTCTTCATTGAACAAGCAAGCCAGTTCTCTTGGAGCTTGCTTAGGGACCTCCAACACAAAGGTCGCGCTGTGTAAAAGGGCCCTTACTGGTCTCCCATCTGTTTCAAAATACTGTGATCCTGTTCTTTTCCACTTCAAACAGTGCACCATATTTGCATACTATGTTGATGACACCAAAAAAGCGCCTAAAACAAAAAGAATACATTTTGACTACAGCTGGATGAATGCCATGATTGCTTGAGGCACTTTAGATCATTGCACAGTATTTATACTGTGTCACACCCTGTGATGTGAAGTAATTTTTCTTTAACAGAGCTTTACTAGAACAGGTATGTGGGAGGGAGAACGCTGGCAGCCAAGCTAACCGTCGGGAGTGCAACCCAGGCATTGCCTTCGGAAGGCGCATGTGTGGCTTACACCCACTAAGTTTTACATAACCTAAATTAGGGTGGATCACTGGGTGCTCAT